CGCCGGAGCCCAGCAGGTCGAGGCTGTGGTGGCCGGGAGCGGCCACTGCACTCCAGTTTGTGAGATAGAGTGAGATTCCAATTCAAAAAAAAAGAAATTAAGTCCTATATATATTTCGAACTTAAGCCTAAATATTTTATTCAATATTAGTATCTTGAATGGTATATTTTTAAATTAAATTTTAAAAAATTATTCCTTGATGTATAGAAACCTTATCAATTTTTGAAAATAGGCCTTCTGAAAATGGATTATTATTGAAATCTCTTTGGCTTTTTTCTTTTCTGTTTTTTGTTTTGAGTTGAAATCTCACTCTGTCACCCAGGCTGATGTACAGTGACATGATTATGTTTCACTGTAGCCTCAACCGCCTGCACTCAGGTGATCCTTCCACCTCAGCCTCCTGAGTAGGAGTGGCTGAGACTACAGATGCATGCCACCATGCCCAGTTAATTTCTTAAATTTTTTTTGTAGATATGAGGTCTCAGTATATTGCATAGGCTGGTCTCAAACTCCTGGGCTCAAGCAGTCCTCCCATCTCAGCCTCCCAAAGTGTTGGGATTACAGGCATGAACTACTGACCCATCTCTTTTCTCTTTTTGAATATATTTTTTATTGATGTGTTATGAAAATAAAATAATCAGAACTTTTTTCTGTAAATAAACTGTAATTTTTGGCAATACCCTTCTTGACTTTTTGCAATTGTCTAAGTAGCAAGTTTTCATACATGTATATATATTATGCATAAATTATATTTACCCAGAAAAGGATCTGATTATACTTTTTTTTTGTAACTTGACTTACTATTCCACCATTTTTGGCAATCTTCTTTTCACAATAAGAAATATACTTCTGCCAGGCTTGGTGGCTCAGCCTGTAATCCCGCGCTTTGGGAGGCTGAGGTGAGTGGATTGCCTGAGCCCGCAGGTTCAAGACCCACCTGGGCAATGTGGCGAGACCTCATCTCTACAATAAGTCAAAATTAGCCGGGTATGGCAGCACGTGCCTGTAGTTCCAGCTACTCGGAAGGCTGAGGCGGAAGGATCGCCAGAGCCCAGCAGGCCGAGGCTGCGATGGCTGGGAGCGGCCACTGCACTCCAGTCTGGGTGACAGAGTGAGACTCCAACTCAAAAAAAAAAGAATGAAAGAAAAAAAAGAAATATACTTCTGCTTTATCATTTTTTTTCATGGTCACTCAGTTTTCCACTGTAGAGTGTGATTTATTTTTTATTGGGTGATTATCAAATTATTATAGATGTAGGCTGTTACAAACAACATTGTGTGACTAAATCTTTGCCCATATCACTAATCATTCTCTTAATGCAAATTTTTAAAGTGGCGTCACTGCATTAAAGAGTATGCACATTTTTAAAGGCATTTGACATATGTACCAAGTTGCTCTGCAGAAAATGATACCAAACTGCACTCCATGTTCAGCGCCCATGTCAGTATGTAGGATGCAGCCTGGCTAATACTGGCTAACAACACTTAAATATTCCCCAACTTTATAAGTGAGAAATGGAGTCCTATTTTAAATTGCATTTCCCTATTAGTGAGGCTGAACTTTTTTTTTTTTCCTATATATTTTTGGTCATACAAAGTTCTTCTTTTTTGAATACTGATTAAAATGTTTTAAGATTCCAATCCATTTTTTAATTGAAGGTAGTTCTTTTTCTTATTGGTTTGCAAATTCTCTTTAAACCTTAATATTAGCCTTCAGTACCAAGTATGTGACAAATATTTTTTCTCAGCATTTCACTTGTCTTTGAATTTTGAGTAGGGTGATCGCATCTATTACTTTATCAATCTATTGAATTTATTTTCTTTTCATTTATGCTTTTTTTTCATTGCTTATGACACTTTAAAGGCATTTGCTTTGAAGAGATGAGAGAGCTACTTAGAGATGCTCTCTCTGTGTTGAAGCAGTCACACCAGGCAGGGTTCAGGTTTTACAGACCCAGTCCCTATTGAACTTGACCTCTACTCCAAGTACTCATGAAGTCCCCATGGCTTGCCTTATTCCTAATGCCATGGCCCCCTCCATCAAAGAGGAACCCTGCTGCATTAGGGAAAAACTTGCCATATGCCAGCTCCACTGTTTGGTTTGGCAAGGCTTTCCCAGGGCCTCCGAGAATGTTGATCTAAAATAATGAAATGGGTAATGAGTCAAGTACACAGTGCTCTCCCCAAGACCTACTCTGTCTTTAGCTTTCCGCTTCCAAGTACTACATCCTGTCTTGGAAAGTGGAATTGCCAACAAGGTTCCCAGTGTCGTTCTTCAGCCTGGATCCATTTGTAATGTATCAAGCAGAGATTTCTCAAAAGTTTGTGTTAACTGAACTTCCTCTTGACTTTATTTTCTTTTCTCATTTTGGTTGAGTTATGAGAAGGTGCAGAAGAGGGTCAGCTGGACCCAGTCTCCGTCTAACCTAGAAACCTGCATGTCTTTATTGTAACTTTTCCAAGTCTCTGATAAGCATTCTTAGCTATAATTAAAATATAAGACTTAGAGACAATTGGTAGATGACCAACATTTAGAAATGGTGTCAA